TGCCGTAGGTTCGAATGTAATCCTGTTTGTTTTTAATAATTTTCACATTTTTCGTCATGAATGTAGATCGTAGGCTAATCACATAGATTCGTATTTATCATTTGAGTTTCAAGTCATGATACATTTCTCTTGTCTTCTAATTATAGTTATATTCACTGGCCAAACTGTGCATTACATCACTTGCTTACATTTTGGGTGAAAATGCATATTTTATCGGCGATCGGTAAGTTGATCATTTGAAGAAATTGTCCCAGTCATTACGTTTTATTTGTAAATCTGCTGTTGGAGTGAATTGAAATGTAGGGGCAACCAAACTTGACATCCGTCCATGAATTCATTGACTGTTGACCTTAGTTATTTAGGATGTTGCAGGTCACCTTGTTGGGGTTCGTGTGATTATTATCGTAATCAATGTTTAGAGACTTAGAATGACATGGCTCAAAATAATTTCCGATGCCGCAGGCATATCAATTCTTTGTCTTCCCTCAAATTCTGAACTCTTGAATTCCTCATAACGTTTTGTGTTTTCATTTCATTAATTTATATTTTCTTGAGTTCTATGTTCGATACTTAATTTTTTCATCTACCACTGATAATGTTACTACCTATACTATTCTGAGATTTGGCTTAACAATTTCATCTCTCTATGGTAATGGGATGTGGCAACCTGAACCAATACACATATACCAGGTTCTACGTTGTGATTAATCGACCATGTAGTACTCACATAATCCTCCAAGTGATGCAATGTGACTTATTATTTCTTCGTCAAACCCTCCATTCCAGCTATCTGAATAGACATATTACTTACCTGGAAGATTTACTTGGGAAAATGCTTTATGTCGCAAATTAAAAATATCTTGTATATGGACCCGCTTTCAAAACGAGAAGTAAACGAAGTCTACTATATTAAAAGCAGCAGAGGTCTGGTAGTTTCATGCTGTTTGAATAAAGCTACCCTCACTATCCACGAATAGGCTAGGTAATTGCATCGATATTTGTGGTCCACCGACTAACCCGACCGTTGTTGCTACCTTGACGTGGTGGTCGGGCTTGCCTATCGTGATGAAGCAACCGAGCTATACTGGCTGGAACAACCGTTCCTCAAGGTCCTACCATGTCAGACAGGTCGGTTGAGGAGTGGTAAGACTAAAAGCAACAAACCCAAGGTCCGAAGGCGAAGTCGTACTGCTGACTGTACAGAGTTGTGACAGAAGTAAGGTGTTTCCTTCAGACAACCAGCATGACAGCGATGCTGCCTTCCCACAGGGAGTGGTGTTAGAAAAGGTCGACCCTAAAAATGCCCACCTCACCTTACCCTACGGATATCCGTCTCCGGCGGTAAGGTCTCAACAAGTACGGAGCTAACACAAAAATTACCCATAAAAAGGTCGTATGTGACCGACCTCAAGCAGTTGTCCCTTGGGCACCGCGGTCACGCTCTCAGGTCACTAAGACCACCTCTAATCCAATTTCGTTTTCAGGTACCTCCAGTAGAACCCTTCCACGGTGTGAGCAACCGGTTGTGATAACCGCCCTCATACCTCTAACAGCACTCAAGACCACTGTATTCATAATCAACCTCCCTCTTCAATTCCTATTATTCCTCCTACATCAACTTTCAACTGTCTACCAATAAGAGGACGAGTATACTGCGCGGCGGTCCGTTCTGTTTTAGTTTACGGCAGCGAAACATGGCCTTTAACAGTAGAAGACACTCGTAAGCTATTAGTATTTTGCCACAGATGCCTTAGAAATATTGCTGGGATCATCGGGTAAGTAATAGTGAGGTTCGACGCAGGGTATTAGGAAATGATGGTAAATCAGTTGATGAGGTTGTGAATCTTCATCGACTGAGATGGTTGGGCCACGTGTTACGTATGCCTGAACACCGATTACCACGACGTGCAATGCTATCCGGTATTGGAAATGGTTGGAAGAAAGTTGGGCGCTGCCAAACCAAAACGTGGCATCAGTGCTTGAAGTCACTAACTTCTAGTCTGAGCCATGTTGGTAGATGCAGATTACTTGGTTGGGGTCCCCGTGACTATCGTAACGAATGGTTGGAAACTGCGTGTGACATGGCTCAGAATCGATCACAATGGTGTAGGAGTATACACTCTCTATCTTCCCTTAAACTAAGAGATTAAAATTGCTTCATATTTTTCTTTCTACGAACTGATTCTTTCTTCGTGTACTATATCCTTATTTCAATCTTTCTTTTATATATTACCACCTCTGAATTAATTACTTTTATGAATCCGGTGTTCATCTTGCTGTGCTAATGAGGTATGGCAACCTGGACTGATGTAGATATGTGCCTGGTCCTACGTTGTAGCTGACTGACTGACTAACTCCACTGACTAAATTGACGTAAATGTATACTGGGGATTCACGTTTAGGCGAAGCCTTAGAGAAAAATCTTATCAAACCGTTCAACTTGCCTTCACGGGAGATGATTTTCGTTTCTTCCAAAATAATACATCATTGATCCAATAATAACAAGCAATGTTTTGACCTGTGTATTTAACGATGATATTAGGGTTCCGTCAAATTGGAAGGTAATTGAATTAACAAGAGATATGGTATAAAGATTTGTTCATATTGAGATCAATGCTGTATCACCATTGGAAATCTTGAAGTATTATATATATAATCAGGATTTTCATGTGGGAGTATGGGTTAAAGCTGCTGTATGGTTTGGAATACGCAGCTTTTGCAACCTGATAGACTTTAATTGTAAGTTATTTTTGTCATTATTCACAATTTTTGGAATTTAATTTGATTCGTACGATCATTGTTATTGACAACTATAAATTGTTTTTATTTAAGCTTGACCTTAAGCATTCTCGTTCATGGTTTGCGTGTCATATCGATTGTCGATTTCATAATAAACAGCTCCATATACCACATCTCGTGCTCATTCAATCAGCTGCCACATTGACGGTTCCCTAAGATCGTCGTTATACACACTTACAGGTCAAACCATTACTCGTTACTGGACTAATCATCTCGTAATAATAACATTACGAAGAAAAGCAAATGCCTCAGTTTCACACCTAATGTCAACAAAGGCTACTATGTTGATGACTGTGAACACTAACCCCTACAACTCACCTCATTTTATGCACCATTGCTTCACAAAGTGTAGCGATTAGTAAACGACATGATTACGCTTCCGACGTTCTACAAAAGGCTGTTCCCGGCACAAACACGCTACAGCATTTTCGCGCGCAAATTACTAGCGATTTGTTTGATTGTCAAATAGCTCGTTTTTCTGTTAACAGATCTCGGATTTACTATAGTGACCTACCATAAAGATTTATGTTACTACTTCAGTAAATCATATGACCAGCATTTATGGTGAGACTTTATGTCACATTTCCAAGCCGATGTCAAGTTCATCAAAAGAAACTGTGGTTTCATAGTAAATGGCTTATATAAAAGGGAAATCAACACTTTGATATCGATCTTGAAGGTATAGCTAAATTCTAAATGGATAACATCAAATTAAAGATATGCAAAGAAAAATCTAACTTGATACTCGAACATCTCCTTAAAGTGGTTGCATTTTTTTATCCATCTGAAGAAAACAACTTTCAATATGATTTTTAAAATCAAAAATATTATTTGGTAACAGGTTCTTTTTAGGGTTCTGCTTCGGTTTGGGCACCCGGGCAGTATCACAGCCCTCACACATATCGATTGAGATTTGTGTGGCACATATGTATTTGATACCTCCTTGTACCAATATCTATGTGTTAAAATAAATAAATCTTTTTAGGGTTGTACAGTATCTAACTGTGGACAATTCAACTAATTTTGGGATGCATGTAAATATTGAAAATTAATCATCATGATAGTCATTTTATTGGGGGTTGTCGATAATGATCTTTTAGTCAAATAAACAGGAGTAATAATTTGTGGACTCTTCAACTCAGCCTGGTTTACTTTTATAAACGTGTTTAGTATTCAATATATATGTTCACTTATGTTTAACTCATTGTAAACTGGGCATATTTTCTCTGAATATCTATTTATGTAGACATAAATAAACAGTCCTCTGTTTTAATATATACGTTAGATGTTGTTCTATTGTCCAATTTAATCGTATTAACGCTGATATTTGTTTTCTCTTCTCTCTTACGTATACGCTGATGCCTTTTCGTGTATATGTGCCTGTACTTATTCACATAATTAAAGACCAACTGCAGTCGACGCTTATGTGTTTGCATTTATGTGGCCCTTATTAATGTATGAATCACAGCATGGTGATTCTAATTGGTGGGATATCGACTACAACTCATCATCCACTTGTTTACAATCAGGTTCACATCATTTAATCACACATCTATTACAATGTCCTAATCTAATTAGATTTTTTAAGAATATCTCGTCGAAATACTTTCAGAAGCATACAAAATGTTTTAGAAAAGGTATGATCTATATCCCTTTTTGATAAATTTAAATCATACACTAAGATAGATGAAAGTTTATGTGATACATTTTGTACAATACATATCAAATAATCTGATGAAAAGTTAACTGGACAAATTAAAAGGTAATTGAGAATAAAGATGAAGATAATCATTAAAGTGCTCAATATAAAAATCACGATGGATAATGAACCAGTATTAACATGGTATGATCTTAATGAATATATGGGAGATCAGATTGTTCGAAATGTATTGCGCAAAGATATTACATAACTCTGATAAAACCTTCATCTCATTGCATTGGCCAAGTTTTCATCCCATTGTTTTTGCTTGTTAATTTTCCTATATCAGTCATAATTTTATACCACTTTATATGATGAAATACCTTGAAAGGTAACTGAATCTATGTGTTATGACTATATAATACATCAGTTTAGAATAAATTGAAATAACAGATTATTTATTGACAGGAATGATCTTCACCAATACAACTAAATAGATTTTAATAGAACGCAAGGCATCCTCTATTAAGTCATTCAATAAAATAGAAATGTTTCAGTTAAGACAATTCGTTGTTGAGAAGTAACTGAAGTAATGTTCATTTTTGGTCTACGGTTATTTTTCAATTACGAGCAATTAAGAGTCTTCTAATAGACACGAGAATAGTGAGATCTCGTTACACAGGATGTATGACATGTCTGGCGTGCAACACTTCCTCGCATGAGATTTCAGGATATCTTTATATTACTAACAGAAGTTATCGTCGAATCGGAACACCATTCTATATACATGATATCAGTCAACGACATTGGAACACAACAAACTTAGCGAACTAAAGGTGGTAAAAGCATGGGTCATCGAAAAAGTATGGCTAAGAAAAATATTATCAAAATTATCCTTAAAATTACAACTCATAATAAAATCTACATATCCTAAAATCTTTTTATCAATAAATTATATAGGCGAACAAGGATAGTTTATGACAAGAGATACAGTTTGGATAAGAATGCCATCATGTAAAGCTTTCAGTTAAGAGGAATTCTCCCATGTTTTGCAGAATGTGAAGGAAAACTGTGGCAGAATAGTCTTTGGCTCCTTTCTTATCTATATCTATTAATGTATCAATGCATAAAGTTGTACCATCTTTAGGAACTCAGTCCGGTAATCTTCACGGATTAATAAATGATTTTTAATTCGTTTATCGGGTGCAGACTCGTCTACTTTGCTTTGAATCGTATTCTGATCGTCAGGGTTAATGAAACTACCGCGATTGACCAAATCAGAGTAGGTAGAACGGATTTCGAACCTGAAACTTAGTGGCTGAAAACCAAAAACCTTTATCGCTCAATTGTTACTATCTAATTGAAGAATGTATGTGTAGTCATTAGATTAAAATGTCAGTATCTAACATGCTTTGAATTAATCTACTCATGCTTTACTCATCATTTTATTACTATACAGAAAAATCTTCAGTTATTGAAAAGTCAGTTGTATCTCATCCGATTCGTGATTGTATTCTCTGGGGTACTGGAGTGGTTGGTTTATTTATAACTTATGCGTATTATTCGAATAATATACGGATTTTACAAAGGTTCCACGGATCTCGATCAACCTAAGTGCTATCTACAGTCGTTACTGTTATTTATTGTTTTATAGTCCTTGAATTGTGTGTTTTATCTCGCATTTCTCTCTCAAAATATCCTTTCTATTATCGTAAATCTTCTTGAACCTATTGTCAATTCACACAATTTTCTACCCTTTCTTTTTGAAAATCTCGATTCTGTATGATTTTACAACTTTCCGATTGCATATATGAAGATTACTACTTCCAGTACCTTTTTTGTTCCTATGTCATCCTGGCTGTTCTCCTTGTTATAATGTTAATACAAAGAAGTTCGTCTATACATTGTTATCTGAAATGATGATGATGTGTTTTGTGAACTATTTAGTTTAATTACTGAGAAGAATTAGGCTCTAAAGATGTCCGGAATAAAAATTAATAAAAGCTCTAGCTCAGATACCACATTAAATTGTTGTCTTTGACTGATTGTAATGCATTTCTTAAAAGCTTCCTGTCTATCATTATCTTATGCTTGTTTTTATCACAAAACATTCATTGTTACTTCTTTTCTCAATGCCAGGCATAATCATTAGCCGTAATAAAAATGTGTCAGAGATGAAAAGAATGTACGGTAGTTTTTGTATTACTTTAGTGCACTTTTTGTAAATATAGATCTTTATAATTTTTAGAAAACTTGTTTAATCTTTAATTTCCTGGGTTGATATTGTGGTATGGCATTGTATGCCGATGCACACGTTTGTTAACTGCTTAGACGTTGATTATAACTGACTGTTTAATCAGTGTATTTTGTCAAGTAAATTGGCTGAAAGCTTGTTAAGGCATCACGTATTTCCAGTAGTTGTGGTTTAGTCATGAAGATTAGTTAAAAACAGTAAGAAAGGCGGAAATCATATTTATTGCCGAAAGACTTAGTTTCAACTTTATCGAGAAAGTAATTTATGCAACTTGACTATACGATAGATAAATATTTGAAGGGATCTTTCCATGGTTCAGAGCAGCCCCCAAACGCCCTGGTACGGCCGAGAGTGAGGAGAGTCCGCTCTTCCTCTCGAAATGCTCTCACATAACTACGCCTATATGATTTTCGACTATTTATTGAGTGTTTTGACACTTTAGAAAGATCAGACTCATCAGCTAATACTAATGAACTAATCGCTGAACTTGTTCCATTATGAACTGCACAATGTTGATCACATTCTAAGAAGAAAATGCAATTATAGACAGAAATCAATGATAAATGATAATCACCAAAGTTGACCGGGTCGGTGGACACGGAGGAGAGTTGAAAAGCCGTGATTCCAAACCAATGATGCACATGGACTCCAGTATCCTGAAAGAATAAATGGCTTATGAACCAATTTTGGGTCACCGGCTACCATGAGACTGCATCTCCTTACGACACTCCAATGCTTTGTGGATCACAGCTTTAAGTCAAAGGCTTCGGGTGCGGCTCCTTAAGAAAACCAGCTTCGGTTTGGGCACCCGGGCAGTATCACAGTTCCCACAAATCAAATGAGATTTGTGTGGCGTATATGTATCTGGTTCCACCTTGTACCAATAGTCATGTGTTCAAATCAATGATAGTCACCTGGTATCTGCTAATTTGCGTTCACTGTGACGTAGACAGTGGGTCAACCGACCTTTCAATGATCACGTATGCTGCTCGTCAGTCTACTCTGTATTATTCTATGATTATAAAAAATAACCTAGTGAAGTAAAAGACTAGTGATCAGTCCTAAGGTTAAAATTCGGGTTCGGCTCTTTATCAACTAATTTTAGTCCCCTAATATCCCAACGTAGTGCACATGCCGTCGAGTCACTTACAGTAGTGACCGCATTTAAACTTAATCGATGAGGTTCATCCGTATGAAAGGAATAGATAAGCATGAGATCTATCATCACTCAGTCCAACCGGGAGTCAGTGGTCATAACTCTGACTGTAGATCTGAGTAATGCGGGTTCGAACCTCACATGGACCAGTTTCTTGAAATCATCAGATACATTCTTCTGACGAGTACCAGCTACCGAGTTGCCTAGTTTCATAGTTCTCTGCGTGCCATCCAATAAACATTGAACAACTGAATCTTTCTTGACTTAAAACCAGTATTTGACTCTGTAGACCGCGAGATTCTGTGGCATTGTCTGTCATTGAAAGGCGTACCTCAGAAGTACATAAACCTTGTAAAGGCTTCTTTACTCGAACACTACTAGTTGAGTCAGAGCTTATGGCGAATTGTCATCTGCTTTTGCAACCTCAAGTGGTGTCCGTCAAGGCTGTCCACTTTCTCAATTTTTGTTCAACTTCATCATAGACCTATTGATGGAAATAACATACTCGTCGACTGAATTCTCGGGTATTGATCTCCTTCCAGGAGTTCCACTTATCGACTTAGAATACGCAGATGATATAGTCCTGTTTGGTAAAGACGCTGACAAAATGCAGTCTTCTGGTAGCACTAAGCAACAATGCCAGAATGTTTGGAATGCGCTTCTTTCCATCTAAATGCAAGTTGTTGCTTCGGGACTGGCCTGCGTCAACAGCTGGACTAAGGATAAGGAGTGAAGTAGTCGAACGCGTTGACAACTTCACTTATGTTGGAAGTCTGATCATCTCTAATGGGTTGGTGTCTGATGAAATGTCAGCACGGATTCGAAAAGCTCGTCTGGCTTTTGCCAACTTACGTCACCTGTGGCGAAGGCGAGATATCCGTCTATCAATGAGATGACGAGTATACTGCGCGGCGGTCCGTTCTGTTTTAGTTTACGGCAGCGAAACATGGCCTTTAACAGTAGAAGACACTCGTAAGCTATTAGTATTTTGCCACAGATGCCTTAGAAATATTGCTGGGATCATCGGGTAAGTAATAGTGAGGTTAGACGCAGGGTATTAGGAAATGATGGTAAATCAGTTGATGAGGTTGTGAATCTTCATCGACTGAGATGGTTGGGCCACGTGTTACGTATGCCTGAACACCGATTACCACGACGTGCAATGCTATCCGGTATTGGAAATGGTTGGAAGAAAGTTAGGCGCTGCCAAACCAAAACATGGCGTCAGTGCTTGAAGTCACTAACTTCTAGTCTGAGCCATGTTGGTAGATGCAGACTACTTGGTTGGGGTCCCCATGTCTTCCGTTACGAATGGTTGGAAACTGCGTGTGACATGGCTCAGAATCGATCACAATGGTGTAGGAGTATACACTCTCTATCTTCCCTTAAACTAAGAGATTAAAATTGCTTCATATTTTTCTTTCTACGAACTGATTCTTTCTTCGTGTACTATATCCTTATTTCAATCTTTCTTTTATATATTACCACCTCTGAATTAATTACTTTTATGAATCCGGTGTTCATCTTGCTGTGCTAATGAGGTATGGCAACCTGGACTGATGTATATATGTGCCTGGTCCTACGTTGTAGCTGACTTACTGACTGACTCCACTGACTAAATTGACGTAAATGTATACTGGGGATTCACGTTTAGGCGAAGCCTTAGAGAAAAATCTTATCAAACCGTTCAACTTGCCTTCACGGGAGATGATTTTCGTTTCTTCCAAAATAATACATCATCGATCCAATAATAACAAGCAATGTTTTAACCTGTGTATTTAACGATGATATTAGGGTTCCGTCAAATTGGAAGGTAATTGAATTAACAAGAGATATGGTATAAAGATTTGTTCATATTGAGATCAATGCTGTATCACCATTGGAAATCTTGAAGTATTAAATAGTGGGCAAGCATAATTCAGTATTGTCGTACAAAATGACGAGGAGAGAATTGCATTTGTATCAAAGTCATTTTCTGTGTACATTTGTAAAGTATATATAACAAAGGAATTGTAACTGAGGAAAACAGAGACGTAAAATGTCACTTTGGTCATGTTTGAATGCAAACCATTGAATGCAGGTTGCCGTAGGAGATATGTGCACGATATTGATTTTATAGATTCTATGCACTAAAAAATGTACAAGATGTGAAGATGAGTTTCAATGACAGAAATTGTAGAAACAGGAAGTGTGAATCGAGTACGTTGTGTGTGTGTATGTGTTACCAAAATTAAAAATTCAACTGAACTCATATAAATACGAATAAACTTGACAGAAGTATGGAGAAGCAAAGAAGAGTATATGTAGATATATATAGACATGTATAACGCAAAAATTGATAGCTCAGTTGAATCCAACCAGCTATCATACATGCTATTTGAAATGAATGGATCAATTACAAAGAATATTCACAGCTTCGTAACTAACCTAACTAGTTTAGAGAAGACAACATCATCGAAAAGGAATACGTCCATACTCATAGCTATACATATCAATGAATGAAAATGATGTTCATTTAAACAAAAGAAAAGATTGATAAAAATATTCTGTTACAGTCAGAAAAGTAAAAAATATCAAGTCAAGAACATACTGAGAATTTATCTAGCAAGAGAGTAACTGAGAAAGTGTATTGCTGGAAGACACTTACAGTTCAGTAAAGGATTTCTCAATCTGTTTAAAAATATAACGAAATAAGTAATATATATGGTCTGGATCATGGAAAGAGGTATATGTGGATAATTTGGTAAAAATTATAGTTGTCAATAGATGATATGGTTTTATGTTTGAACAGGTGAATAAAATTCATGTATATTTGAGTGGTACCAATGTCTGGGCTCTTTTTGAGAATGCAGTTTAAGAAAAGTCGAGCTAAGAGTAGAACATAATTGGAGTAATCCTGATGAGAAACGCATTCGAACAAGATGAGGAAACAAAGAATAACCTAGAAGTACTAAATGGTTGTTTCGTCCTACTATAGGACTTCTCGTCAGTACATGTCCACGATCCCGTATACAGGACTCAAATCTAGGACAATTGGTCTCGTGAACAAACTCTTAGCATTCAAACCATTGAGCTAGCCAGCATCTAACACTGTAAATATCTCACTTCCATAAATCCATGATCTTTATTCATTATAAAAATGATAAAGTACAACATATATATAAATCATTATTATAATGATGATGATGAACTTACTCGATGAAGACCTTCTTCTGTAGCATCTAAACGTTTATTAGTTTGTAGTTTGCCATAAATTAGTAACTTTTCTATAATTATCATTTGAATTATCTAATGAATTATTATTATTATGTATATCATTATCAATGAAACCAATAATATCTTGATTATTTGGTAAAGAATTGAATAAGGCTAATTGAGATTCAATAGTTGTTAATCTTTTCTAAAATTAAAAATATTCATCAAATAACAATCTATGAAGATGATATTAGATAGTGATTACAAGGAATACTATTACTTTTATATAAGTATGCCATTTGAATGAATGAAGAAACCATTCTATGGAGTAAAGATGGATAATGGCTAAGAGTGGAATTTAAGACTCACGTTTCGTCCTAATTCGGACTCATCAGCAATATCGGAGCAATATGCACAGAATAAACATATGTCAATAAAAGATTGATCAATTACAGTCTAAATAATCGGTGTGAAGATTCGAATAGAACATTACCAAGTGAATTTAAACTTTACCATATTGTATAAACAAGTGGCTATCAGCACTCGGTAACTAAGTGGATATTGCGATGGTTGTTTGAAGCGATCAGTACTGGGATCGAGTCCCAGAGTAAACATTAATTCTGAGATGTAGGTACATCCAACCGATTAGTCTCAAATAGGACAAAACTCACGTCCTACATTCAACTACTATTCGCTATTCATCTTTGCTTATAATACTTGTGAATGAAGACAATATCAAGGATGCACATATGCTAACAATGTGATTAATCAGTTGTTGTCCTAACCATCAATAGAAAAATATAAGTAAACAATACCTAGTCATTTTGTCACGGTTTGTGCAAAAAATAATCAAACAAAAGTAGACTTATGAGTAGGCAATATTTAAAGCATTCATTTTAATGATAATCATCGGCGACTACACATATATTACAACATTGGTGGGTTGCCCCCAAATGCCCTGGTATGGCCGAGAGTGGGGAGAGTCTGCTCACCCTCTTGAAATGCTCTCATATGGCCACACGTATATAGCCTCTGCCAGGGAAGTCCTACTCACTGCCTTCTCGTGTCTGGGGTGTTGTTTACGAAATTGAGAGGACGAAAAGCGAATGCCTGGCGCTTTAACCGGGTTGGTGGTCATGGAGAGTCCATTTAGGGGAATGGTAAAACCCTGATTCCAAACCAATGGTGCAAATGCTAACAAATGGCGTATGAACCAATCATTGGTCACCGGCTATCATAGGACTGCATCTTCTTACGATGCTCCACCTTTCGGTCAAAGGCTCCAGGTGTGGCCCCTTGAGAAAACTACCTGATTCGATCTGGGCACCTGAGCAGTATCATAGCGCTCACACAAATCAAATGAGATTTGTGTGGCGCATATGTATCTGGTGCTCTCTTGTACCAGTATTTATGTGTTTAAATAAAAAAAAAGAATGATAATAAATTGGTAGGTTTACAACGATTATTTATTTTTAGCACAACTAATGATTAAATCCTACACTAAGTGTAAAATATAAAGACCCTGTGACTAATCTATTTCATTAATCCTAAACTATCATATATATATACATATATTGATAGTGTCATTCAAGCCTGTAATACCTTATTGGTTAAAAGATGAATGAATAGATCATCATTGTTCCATTGATGAATACGTTGAACTAATCAGATGACTTTGACAAATATCGTTTAGTTTTATTCTTTCATTTCATTTATTCTATTTTATGATTTATAATGTTAAGTCACAAATGATCATACCTTTAGTGTTATCTTAATGTAGTCAATTCATCTATTTAAACAAAACAAAACAAAACCCTTCTTATATTATTTGTATTATTATTCATAACTATTCTGTAAAAAAAGTTCCAATTGTAGAAATATGAATAGAAACATTGAAAATTTGATTGAACAAGAAAAAAAAAGGAAGAAAGAATGTTCTGTTCCATCTGTGTTGTATACTACTTATATTGACAGATATAAGTAGTATGCAACATCAAGTTAAAGTAGAATACTTGGCAACAAAAGAAAAAAGAAAAAATGGTTAAAAAAAGATAGAATGAATGAGAATAGAAATAAGGGAAAGATAAATTATGTAGGAGACAATTAATAGAAGATGTGTCAATGTAGTAATTTACAAAGATCTTGTTAATTGACAATAAGTAGCCAAATGATCTTTGTTCATAATAAGCCTTCACAAAAATGGTGTTTAATGAAAGAAACATTCAAAAATCTTTTATACAATCAGGATTATATAACTTCATAAATGAATTTTCAATTATGAAAATGAAATTGAAAACAATGTTGATGGATAAATGCTACATTGAAATGCTATGAAGTGATTGTGTAACCATTTGTACAATATAACTACGCCTGGAGTCCCTCCGGGGGCTACTGCCGTCTTCAAGCCCGGATAAAAAAGGAGGGTCGGGCATGGGTTACTAGTCAAAAGAATAAGTTTTAATTTCAGAAAATCATATACTTATACATGAAATATGAACAAAAATATAAACATTATTGATCTTTTACTTTTCGATAGATTAAGATCTTAAACAGTCACTTACACTGTGGGACGAGGTACATATGTGCATCGGGTTCAAGTTACCATAACTCATTAGCACAACACGATGAACAACGGATTCATAGAAGTAGTCACTTCAATGGTGATAATATGTAAAAGAAAGATTGTGTATAAGGATGTAATTTTAATCTTATAGTTTAAGGGAAGACAAAGAGTGTATACACCGACGCCGTTGTGATCGGTTCTCAGCCATGTCACACACAGTCTCCAACCATTGGTTACCATAGTCATATGGACACCAACCAAGTAGTCTGCATCTACCAACATGGCTCAGACTAGAAGTTAGTGACTTCAAGCAGTGATGCCACATTTTGGTTTGGCTGTCTCTAACTTTCTTCCAACTATCTCCAACACTGATCAGCATAGCGCGTCGTGGCACTGGCTGTTCAGGCAGACGTAACACGTCACACAAACATCTCTGTCGATGATGATTCACAACCTCGTCAACTGATTTGCCATCATTCCCTAATACTCTGCATCTAACCTCACTATTACTCAGCCAATGATCCCAGCAGATGCTAGTAATATTTCTAAGACATCTGTGGTCAAATACTATTAGTTTACGAGTATCTTCTCTAGTACCTTCTACTCTTAATGGCCACGTTTCGCAGCCGTAAACCGCTGCACAGTATAATCGTCCCTTAATTGATAGACCAATAGCTAGCCTTCGTCATAGGTGATGTAAGTTGGCAAAAGCCAAACGAGCTTTCTAAATCCGTGCAGAGATTACATCAGACACCAACCCATTAGGGTTATCTATCTATCTATCTGTTACATTATTCATTTTGTTCAATGTTAAAGTCATCTGGAAAAAAAACACATTCTACTGAAATACATAAAATCACATATAATTTTTGTTTAAAATAATTTCAATTTTATTCTTATACTTTACCATAGTTACTAAAATAATAACAAAAACGAGTAATCTGATAAACAACAATTTAATCAGTGGAATATACTTCAATATTGATAGACAAATATACATTTTAATAAAAATGAAAATTATGGAACAATTACATTCACAATAGTAATTGATTTGATTTGATTCAAATACATTAGTAATATGATATTGAAGTAATCCATCAAGTGTATTTACAATAATCAAATTGAATTAGTTTCAATGTATATTAGTTTTTGATTGAAATCATGAACCGATTGATGTTAGATCATCATTGAAAAACTTGGAAGCACTAGACAGCTATTTCATCCTTTTGTGGGACACCTTGGCATTGTACATTCACAATTCCGTTTGCGAGATTCAAATCTAAGGCCTTCAGTCTCACGCGCGAATGCTTAACCCATTAGATCACTGAGCCGGCATCCAACGGTATTAATATGTAACCACAACCGGTTCACGAAATTGTGTAACCATCTTCCATTGCACTGAAGCAGGTACTTATCTCTACCCGACACGGCTTAACTCTACTGGTCACAGCTGTTCATTAGAACTCTGAGAAATCCCTCACAAAGCTAGTCATTATGGGACTATAGAGATTTTGTTTATATGCGTAAATTCTAATGTAGCTAGTAGGACGAAACGGCCGTCCAGTACTTCCAGATTTCATTGGTGGTCTAACATCAATCGGTTCATGATCTCAATCAAAGACTTAATAATCTCCAAAACCCCATACTGATATAATAGTTTTGTTAAAGATTATTCAACTGATAATTCAAATCCTAGCGTAGATCAGATTCTGAGAACTATTTATGGACTGTTATCATATATATTCTTATTGCATAACTGTTACGTAACTAGATTATGTGTATATATTTATAATCCTTTTATCATAAACATTTATTTGACCTATGCACTACGATCACACAAGTTGTTATTCTCGGGCTATTCACAATCTATTAGTTACAAATTCCCATACTCATAACAACTTTTGGCTTGATCCTTTATAATTATTCATTTTCATTTTATGGTATGATGTAGTCTAGTTTGGTTGTATTTAAACCAAGTATGTCTAAAATATATGATACATATAGTGGAAGTTGATATCGGTGTTCTGGACTCAACAGGCAGGGCTAAGCAAAAAGGGTTAATAAGGACTCTAGGTAGATTGTACCGGTCAACATGTGATTGGTTCGACACAGTGCTAAGATTGTCTAAGTCGCATTCTGATTGGCGAATAAGTCACGTGATATCTAATCAACCAAAAGCCGGAACACTTCAATGCTCGTTGTAAGAGTGTGTCTTTTGGAATGCTAAGTTAGAATTCAATAGTACTGATCGCAAACGCTAGTCAATTCACAATTTATTGAAATTATTTGCATATGATCAAAGTTCCTACTAGTCATCATTTTTCATCAGAAACCTCAAGAACTCATCTACCGACAAGTCTTTGATGCTTTACTTGAAAAGTTTTGGAATTTAGTACATTCAAATATACCAATCGCAACTTTTCAAAAAGACAACTATACATTTAAAGAACAAACAAACCAGATTATCGGTATTATTTAACTTGATTGTTGAAATAAAATTTTAAGTGTTGAATTAATGAGTCGATCTAACCTATATGACCATTGAAAACCTGACAGAACTAGACAAGCGTTTCGTCCTAGTATGAGACTCCTCAGCAATGCGCATCCACGACCCGGCACATGAGGCTCAAAACTAGGATCTTCAGTCTCACGCGTGAACGCTTAATATCTAGACCACTGAGCCGGCAGGCATCCAACGGTGTTTGTGTCTAACTTCAATCGATCTATGATCTCGCGAAAACATTAATCCATTGTCTAAGGTTGGTAACTGTCTCTATCCGACATAGATTAGACTTCACTACTCATGACTTTTCATTAGAACTCCATGAATTCCATCTGAAAGCCAATCAATAGTGAGAAAATGATTGTTATTATCATAGGAATGGGGGTTTGTGGAGACCATGGATGTTTACTACTGAGGAATCCCATACTAGGATGAAATAGTCATTCAGTGCTTCTCAGTTTTCAATCGTGCTCTAGCTTAAATCGACTCATGAACTCAACTATTAAAACTATTACAATCTCCACTAACCCCCATTTTGATAAAATGAAATTGAACTAAGTTATTTATTAATTAAAAAAAAGGAGTATTTTAACAACCAACATCCCGTTTTGTTTATTTGTATATTATTATGGTATCTATTGAAGTGACATATTTTTTTATAACAAGAACATTGTTCATCATCATTAAAACAATAGTTTATATTCATTCACTTATTTACTATTGAATGTAATAGTTACTTTTGTATACTTAATCAAGCTTGTTTACTTGTTTACATATATATATATGTTAGTTAGTACATCTGTACTAGTTTTGGACATGGGTAATTTATCGATTATTTGTTTATGAATTGAAAATAGTTAAGTTGAATGATTATCATTTATTGAGTTTGATTTGAAAGGTTACTATTCTTAAATGATTTCATATTGTAATAAGGGCCACATTCCTACAATTGAAGAATATCTAGAATTCAAATCAACTATCTGTCAATCAATATCCAAGTGAGAATCTTCAATACGAACGTCAAGACAGTTCTACTGTATGGAGATGAAACTTGAAGAACTACTACAATCATCACCAACAAGGTATAAGTACGCAAGATACTCAACATTTATTGGTCGGAAACCATCATCAATAGCCTTCTGTAGGAAAGGACAGACCATCTTCCAGCTGAAGAGGAAATTAGGAAAAGATGTTGGGAGTGAATAGAACACACAATACGGAGATCACCAAACTGCATCACGAGGCAAGCCCTAACTCGGAATACTGAAGGGAAGCGGAAAAGAGGAAGACTAAAGAACACATTACACCGGGAAATAGAAAAAAATATAAAAAGGATGAACAACAACTGGAAAGAGCTTAGAAGGATTGCCAAAGACAGGGTTGGATGGAAAGTGTTGGTGAGCGGCCTGTACTCCTCCACGACGAGTAACAGGCGTAAGTAAGTAAGTAAGTCTATATTGTAATAAATTTAGACTTAATTTATTATGATTGTATTTGAATAATTTGTTTAAAATTGAATTTAAGTTTAAATAATTTTTCTAAGTGATGGAAATATCCAGTAGATGACGGGATGTTGTTTAGTTTAAGGTTCCCAGTAATATCCCTGCACTACACTTTTGCAATGGATCACACAAAGAGATGAGAACTCTAACATCTACAATATAGAACTGTGGTAAGGGGCATTTCACCAACTTATGCTACCTCAAAAGTCAAAAACCCAATGAATGTAATGTAATGGACAACGATGACAGGCTACATAGTCGCAACATGCATTAGAAAAAAATTGGAAAACACTAGAAGTTATGGAATAAAATTGTGGTTAAATCAATAATCATATCATTCTAGTATCCGGGTGAATACATCATCCCAAATGTTAGTAGTCAGTTTATCAGTCTGATTTTCAGTTGTCAGTTGATTTCCATTAAGGTTTATCTACATATTTACAAGAAAAGTGATATATAAGATTTATTAAACAATAAGGAACTGAAGAACCTTTAAAATTGCTTGATTCATTATTACAATCAAGGAGATTATCAAATCAACCTAGTTATGAAAGTAAAAATCATGTTTATCATAAAAATGAAACATTTACAAAGTAATCAGAATCAAGATTATTGTCAGTCAGTCAGCTATAACGTAGGACCAGGTACATATGTGCATCGGTCTAAGTTACTATACCTCATTAGCACAACAACATGAACACCGGAATCATAGAAGTTGTTAATTCAGTGGTAGTAAATATATAAAAGAAAGATTATGTATACAGGTATTGTACAAGAAGAAAGAAATAGCTCGTCGAAATAAAGGATATGAAGCGATTTTAATCTCTTAGCTTAAAGGAGAACAGAGAGTGTATACACCAACGTCATTGTGATCGATTCTAAGCTAGGTCACTCAGAGTCTTCAACCATTGGTTACAATACTCAGCTGTTAGAAATTATAATCTCAAACAATTTTCTATTCGTCTTTCACCAACATTGTTATTTTTAGTTACCATTAACATTTAACCATATAACTAAAATCTATTATATTGGTTACCTTGTTTTATACACATAACAACGTTTATTTACAGTCATTTCCTTTCTTTAATCGCATGTAAATCGTCAACAATGTAACACTGTTGTACTGTTGTGTGTTAGTTGTTGATCTATTTAATTTATACAAATTTCTATTATATTTAAAGTATCTCAAAACCATTCATAAATTTGAATTAAATAAATAAATAAATAACAACGTCTGTCAAATCATGTAGGCTGTTCAGAGCTATAATCCTAGAGATCTTCAGTAAGATATTCAAGCAGTTAAATATAGGATCAGAACGTTTAAACAAAAGAAAGTCGATTTTTAGCAATTTCATAAGATAATTCAATGTTTTCTGATGACTCAACTAAAGTCAGTCAGTCAGTTAGCTTCAATGTAGGATCAGGCACATATATGCATCGGTTCAAGATGCCACATCTCATTAGCACAGCAAGATCATGAAGTGATTGATTTTAGATCATCATTGAAAACCTGGAAACACTGGACGGCTGTTTTACCCCACAAGCGGGATCGTGAATATACACCGCTGAGGAGTCCCATAATAGGATGAAACCGTCGTCCAGTACCTACAGGTTTTCAATAATGGTTTAACATCAGTCGGTTTATGAGCTTAATAAAAAACATAATCATCTTCACAATCCCACCTTCAGTATACATTAATTAGCGTAAAACAACTTTCAATTCGATTATTTAATCATATTTATCTAAGATCTTAAAATTAAATCAAGAAAACAATTAAGTTCTATTTATTTGGGGGGGTCACTTCATTCTTCTATTGCTTGGTTGGAGTATTAAAAATGAGTTTTACAATAGAAAGTATCGGATAGATATTTTTACCAGCAAGTTGACTTCTTAGAAATGCTTCTTTCAAGGTTACAGATGTCATGTAACCGTAGGATCCTATAACGCTACTTTAAATATTGTCAATATATTCCTAACTATACAATGTCAAACTGAATGAAAACTCATCATTATTCAAACTGTAAATACAAAACGATTGAAAAGACATTTTAAGTTCAGAAATATTTGTAATTGATTTATGACTTCGTAGTGACCAATGTCGTATATGCCAAGATGTTTTGGTTATTATCTACTACACTTTGATATCATGATTTGTCAGTAGTAAAAAAAGCTTTACATTTCTGTTAGTTTTAACAAACGTAATACAGTTTAGCTGTTCCTGACCTGTAAAGTTATTTTTAACAGGTACGGAAGTTTTTTAACTATCCACTGACTAAGTATATCGTAGTGAGACTAATTAGTCGTATGAAGTATAAGTTAGTAGGTAATGAATATTATTTTACTATTTCAACCAATTTTTGAAATTTCTGATGATAAAAGCATCATAAAAGTCATCATTTCCGCTATTCAATATTATTTTGATCCTTTATCAAGGAATGGTTATCAATTACTTTTAAAAGTGCACATCAAAGTTATATGTATCTGGTAGGGTCATTTACTTGACAATATAATAACAGGGGGATTCGGCTTTGCTATAAAAATTCGTGATTTTTTTATCAAAAGACTTAATAGGTCTAAATGCTTTGTTACTTTATACAATGATGATGAACATTTGGGATTTAACCCGTTGTCACTAGTTTTAAGTTAAACCATGTAATATATATATATAAGTTGAAAAGGAGGACTGGACCATCTTATAGTACGAAGTTTCTATCATTCTTATCTCATTGTTTTGCTAATCACTCCAAACTGCCTAACGTTAAATAGTGATGAATTTTAACTATTAATCATTTGGACTAGTGAGTGTACTGTAAATATTCTAGACCGAATTCATTTAGTACTAATATCCAAACAACATAGAATTGGTTACTAATCTAAGTTCATTAATATGAAGTACAATGTATGATTGTCTTCTTAGTAAAAGAATATTGGATAAATGTCCAGCTTTTGTCTTAGAGAACATTTGGTAGAGAATAAGGTGAGTGCTGAAATGGATTTCGATTCACATTTTAAAGTTCTTATTCATTTCCATTATCATATTGGTATTGTTTAATTTTTCCCTCAACAGCTTGGTATATTGCCAATTATTTGAAAAAGGGTGAAACCCAATGCATTAGCTCAACAATTTAAGTTACTACATTTAGAATTCTTTTAGATCTTAATAAAACTACTATTTAACATGCATCATTGGATTTCGGAACGATAAAAAGACGGTCTACCATTTAAATGTCCTAGGTTTGATTGACAATCATATTTATTGATTTTTGATTAAAGAATAAGCGTTGGATAACAAAATAACCACAAAATTCCTATCAAATTATTATTTTCTCTCAAAGGAATATTGAACTGCTTATTAAAAAGATATTGTGAATAAAACTAACTCTAGTCGTGAACTGTTTATTAAACTTGAAACTTTAGTTAAAATCTACTTGAATAGTTTTTTCTTGGGTAAAATTTAGTTGTAAAACATTTATGAGTACCGCTTCTGAATATGCTATCACTTAATGAGACATTGAACTGTTAGAAATTTAATGCCGAGAAGATAGCAAATCCTCATTTCATAGTTGCAGATATATAATCTAATGCGCTACTTCTGAGCTATGTCCCTCGTTGTGAACTAGATACTCAATCCTACGTTACTTCTTCTATACTTTGCGCTTACAAGAAACGATGTTATTCATTGTCAAAGCATACCGTACAACACAAAGCATTCAAAAATCAAGTTTAAACAACCGTATAAAAATCAACCCCCCTAAAATCTACTTTAAACAGACGGTTATTTAACAAATGTAAATACCTACGGCTTGTAAAGCAAAAAGGGATATGTAAAGAATTTTTTGTGATTTATGAGGACTCTTGACATTGACATGGGAAGATATAGTAACAACAAGTTAAGCAGATATTAGAATTAGTTTTTTGACTATTCATATAAGTATGCCGTAACGAAATATTTACACTATCATGTCTCCGTTTCCGCTCCTTACGATGTGGATTTAAACAATGAGTCAAATAAACTAATCAGTTTGGTTGGAATTCAAGTATTTTTATGTGATACTAAAAACTGAACTGTTTATTGGCTGGACATCTATCTACAAATATTTAAGATTTAAAATTTCAATAAAATTTAATTATTCACGCTCTAACAAAGTGTATTCACAGCGAATTAAGACACTTGTTTGACTTTCGTCTACTAATAATACATAGATGTAGGTAGAAGTTGTTATAATCATAAACTGTAGTAGAGAGCATTATACATATCTACTAAAAGTGGTGAATTATATGTTATTATAATATTCGTATACCTAATTGATAATGTGTGATAAAAATATCAATCTTATTGCGTAGTATACAAAACTGATTTGATTTTTGAAATTAAAAGAGTGCTCGAAGAAAATACGGTGGAACTATAATTTATGGACAATCTTTGAGCAACGCAGGACTGACCTCTAGAGTATCCACCTGATAACTAGGACCGAATGTGGATTATAAATTAGTTTGAGTAATTCGGATTGTGATTTACAGTTGATGGTTAGAGCTAAGAATAAGATTTAGGGTTTTCATCACGAACTGACATCAGCTATAATGCCAAAACTCTATTTATCCAAATGGATGAGTGAATTTTGCACCAAAGTCCGATACCTGTCACCTTATACCTAAATTGTTCGTCCAAAAATCATAATCTTGTAGCGTGATGTCGAGTGGAGATTGACTATGAACACCACTACCAAGAAGCTCGTTCCTAATGACTCCATAAAATCCCCCGAGAAACCAAATATTAGAAGGCAATTAATGGACCAAGTCGATGTTTATTTGCTGGCGATCTCGTGGCATCGAAAGGATACCGAGATCGTGCCAGGATACAAGCTTGGTTACAGAAGATAACCAAATTCGCGCGAAGTTACAATCGAAGTGTGTGAACAAGAATGGAAGCACGATATAGCTATCATTAGCACAGTCAAAAAAAGCACATTAAAACGATCACTGGTGCAATTGATTGTAATAATAATTTTTTTGAACCAGTCGTGTTCTCGTGACAAAAGTGAGTCACTACAATTTCACCGAAAACTATTTATTCAGAAACGATTTGGATTAATTATACAGTATACGACTACTTAAGGAAGATTTTGATAACTGATCGAGCTGCGCCATGTCTCCTAAAAGAGCTCCTTAAGGTTAACCGAATGACCTCAGAAATGAGATTTCGCAACAAAAAAATAAATCTTATAAATTCAACTTTACTTGGATATTATAGAATATACTTGAGGCAAATTCAGAAGTTGATATTTTTGCTTCATTCTGTGACCGTGGTTCGTTTGAAGGTTTCTTTACATCTGGCTCCACATCGCTGGATTTGAGGTGCTTTATTATATGTGATAAAATGATATACAATATTCCGAAGTTGACCGACCCTGGCCAAAATACATTTATGATTGATATTATAACTATTACATCAGGTGTTCCAGCAGTTTAGAAAGTGTAACAGCCTTATCGGGGAGCCACGAATACTCCGTGGTTTTTTTATAGAGATGATATTCACAATCTTCACTCTGAATAGCCTACAAAATAACAAAAATTATTTTGACGATTTCTGTTCATTTTTGCATTTTCTCAACAAGTCGTTATAGATATCAAGGTCACCAAATGTTTTCTTATACAATAAAACAAGCTAAAACTTCATGAACGTGGTTATGTTTGAGTTTCCTCTAGGACTTATTTTCTTCAGAAGCTCATCGTTATTCAACCTTATCAACAACTAAGTCATTTGCTGAAATCATTCAGAATGTCCATCGGTAAAAGTTCTGTTGAAATGTTGTTTGTGAAGGTAACTCTCTATTTATCGATTAAATAGGTCGATGTATTACATGTCATCTTTTCTGAAGACTCACAAATTAAGTTTTAATTATGTAATTCAGCAATACACTCTATGTTCATCCTTCATTTGGTTATTTGCTTGTGTTGTGATGCTGTTTAGCTATTCATTTAATCAACTGGTTTATGTTTCCTATTGATTTGCACAAATTCCCGTTGAAAACACCATGTGGTGATGTGACTTAAAAGCTTCATTCTCTTATAGTACATTCTAGTTTGTCTTGGTAAGCTATTTAATTGTCGGTCATGAAAATTGTATTTCCAGTTTAATAATAACGTCTCATCCAACTAATCGTTTAACCTCGTTAAGACGTTTATAGCTAAAGTATAATTCATCAAGTATTCTTCATTGCAGATCAAAAAATCCTACTTCTTGTCATCGTTGTGGAGAACTGGTTCCCTGATAACATACTCTCAGATGAGCTCGTTGATATGAGTTTTTAGTTGCGCTATGGTGGACCAGACAGATATGAACATGAAAAATATCAACAAAGTTACCAAAGATTAATAGTAATATTGATATATGCCGGTTAATTATTACAAATACAATAAAAATTTGGAACGTTACTTAAATTGACCAAATGTTGCATGTTCTGATTGGGTCCAGTATTGTAAATCCACAATTATGAATGCATGGCGCTTCTGATCGGGTTGACGAACTCTCCAATGATATAATCCAACGTAGGATGTGATATATTCCGATAACCGTCTATAAATGTAGATAGTATTTGATTTAGACATCCGTTAACTCATTCACAAATGAAAATAGAACGAGGAATGTGTGAGAAGCAGTGTATTTGTTAGCCAGCAACGGTATGTCACGCTATGTAGTAGCACAATGGAAAAGTGTGTACAAGGTTCGAAATGGTTGTGGACGGAATAGAAGAAGCTTTCGCTTAACAGGCTTCCGTGTCTAGTAGAAAGGGATCACCAAATCCTCCAGGCAGGAACCTAGGTATGTTAACAATAAAAGAGGAAAAGAAATTGGTAAATCATAGTGTGATACAGTCCTTGGTCCTTAAGACTAGGTCAAGTTGCCTCTTGAAGGACTCCTGAGAAGTCGCTTGGGATAGCTCGGCCGGCAGCGAATTCAAGCTTTTGACAACTCTTAAGGAGTAGAAGTTGTGTCTACATTCCGTTCTGCTATGTTATGTCTCCAGTTTTTGGGTGTTGCCCCTTAGGTTATTATTCGAACTAAGCTTGAGTAGGTGTTTGAGAGCATGTCAAGAGGTGTTAAGAATACTATGAGCCAATAATAAATCACCTCTAAAACGCCTATACTCTAATGGGTAAATGTCTAGTGAATGGAGGCGTTCTTCGTAAGGCTTAGATTTGAGTCCTCGAACTGATTTCGTGACTCGCCGTTGGATGCGCTCCAAAGTGAACTTGTCTTTTTGGAGTGAGGGGGGAGTACTATATTCCCGTACTCTAAATGGGAACGGATAAAACTTCTGAAGATTATATGTAACGTTCTTCCGTCAAACTGGCCGAAAATGCGCTTCAATGTTACCAGTGCAAGGTTTGCTCGGAAGGCATTTTTGTCACAATTAGCGTAAGACTTTAAATCATGGGGCACCAGGACTCCTAAATATTTTTCGACTTGAGATACTACTGGAGGGGAGTTACCTGATTTATAACTGTAGCCTGCGACATGTCGCAGATGAACTACTTTACACTTTGAAGTGTTAAAGGTAAGTCCGTTATCATCTGCCCAACTTTGAAGTCGAGTCAGATCCTCCTGAAGTGCCTGTATATCGTCTTGGTTGCGTATCTCTCTCCAAAGTTTCACGTCGTCGGCAAAAATTAATAAGTCAGACGTTACCTGTTGAGGAAGATCATTTATGTAGATGGAGAAGAGAAGAGGTCCTAGTACTGAGCCCTGGAGAAACCCACTAGTACATTCCATAGACTGAGATAGAGTTAAATTAACCCTGACCTTAAAATGTCGATTTTTCAGGTGTGAAGTAAGCCAATCGATTAGAGGTGGTCTGATTCCCAATCGTTTGAGCTTATTGATAAGACATGTATGGTTAACCTTATCAAAAGCTTTTGAGAAATCTAGGTAGATGATACCAACCTTCCCCTTGTGATCAAGGATGCTTGTCCATCTGTCCACCGCAGTCAGCAGGTTGGTAGTACAAGTGTAAGCTTTCCTGAAACCATGCTGTTGGGGTGAGGAGAAATTTAACTACAGTAAATAGTCGTTTAAACCATCGCATATCAGGGACTGCATGAGTTTTGAAGGTAATGACAGAAGAGCCACCGGTCGGTAACTTGGAGTTTCGCTGCGTCGACCTCCTTTGAAACTTGGTGTGATGTGAGCCAACTTCCAATTTTCCGGTAGTTTGCCTCGGCTTAGCGAGTGTGAAAACATCACGCTAAGCGTCGTTGCCAGGATTGAGCCTGCCCCCCTCAGTATGGCAAAATCAACCATATCCGGGCCAGGAGAAGTGTCTAGTCTTAAGTGCTGCAGTTTCCGGAACACCAAGTCAGCGCTTAAGTCCACTTCGGAAAGTCCTGTGGAATCGCAGATGAAACTGTCGTCAGTAAAGTTGATGTCAGCTGGCTGAAATGTTTGAGTGTAATGTGCCTCCAGAAGGTTAGCGGCGTCACCATCGTTGTTGGTCGGGTCGTTAAGACTCCACTTTTGGCTTGACGAAGAGAGGCTGCATAACGGAACAAGCTTTTAGGATTAGAGGCAAGTTTGTCCATAAGCTTTGTCTGGTACTGGAGCCTATCTTCTCTTATAGCCTTCGTGCATATGTTCCTGATATGTTTATATTGCCTGTACGCTCCGTCGTTGTCAGTTCGTTTGTATTCCGCCCAACAGTGTCTTTTGGAGCTTAGCAGGCGAAGGGTACTGTTCTTGATTATTGTAGGTGACTTGCGGCTTTTGGAAACCGTTTGAGGAACTGAATGGTTTGTAGCACGTAAAAGCGTGTGCAGTAAGAAGTCCCAATGACCGTCCACATCGAGTTGGGGATTAACATCCCAAACCACCTGTTGTAGATAGTCATGTAGAGCTGGCACATTCAGCTGTTTAAAATTCCAACGCAAAGTATTGTTAGGATACCTTAGCTTAGTTTTGCTGACAAAACTGAAGGCTATGACGGCATTATCGCTCTTTCCCAGAGGAGCCAGGATTGAGAGGTTGTCGACTAAGAATTCTTCGTTTGTGAATACACAGTCTAAGCGCGATAGTGTCTGACTGTTTCTCCAACAAGTTGCCGACCTCACATTTTCATGCAATCCAAATTCATCGATTAGGTTGAAGGACCGAGCTTCAATTGAGTTGTCGCCTCCAGTATACGTGTTTTCCTCGAAGTTGACTCTCGTGTGATTAAAGTCCTTTAGAATCTGGATGTGTGTGAAACCGAGACGAGTAGAGCGAGATAGTCCTTCCAGCATACGATGATCGTACTAGATGTCGGCAGTTGGCTTGCTATAAATGTCTCCGACTGGACACCTCGAAGTACTAGACAATCTTAAAGAGCACCATATGGATTCTTCAAGATTGTTAAACTCGAGGTTGTGAAATTGGTGCACCTCCAAGCAAGAGCTTATGTATATGGCTACTCCGCCCCCAATTCCTGTTGTTCTGTCGTTGTGGAACACAGTCATCTCAGGTAATGCTAATTCTTGGTCCGACAACTGAGATGATATCCAGGTTTCAGATATTCCGATCAGGTGGGCTTTATTAGCATTGCAAAGTTCACGTAATTCATCCAGTTTGTTTGGTAAACTCAAGGCGTTCATATATAAGCAGTTTATGCTTTCAATTTGGAACGCGTGAGCTTCGTCCTGTTTTCCTGTATGAGATTTACGTGAATGGACAGGTAGCCCACATATGTGAGGTTAACCGAGGTGATAGACCCTGTCATTTACACGTTTTTTTTATCGTTTAGACAATCCACAAGTGGAATGGTCAGCTCCAACTTGCCTTTGTGCTTGATCCTGGCTTCATATGGCCTATCCGGGTGCATGTGGATTCCAGGTGGCAATCGACGTCTGTTGGCACGAAATGCTTCCAGAACTGCAGCCGCCATGTGGGAAGATGGAAAGGTTATCTTCATTAGACGGGGTCTCAGATCACCGTCCTTTGAGGCTAGTCTCGTCACATGCTGAGTCAGTATGTTTTTGAGCCTCAAAGACTGTTTGATGAATTTCCATTCCCTGATGTCAGAATTTGATTGAGTAGGGTCTGCATTTTCTGGTATACCTTGCGCAAATATGTTTCTTCCGCAGAAAAACTTCTCATGAGATTCTTTAGGGATGTTTCGTATGATATTGCGCTCAGAGAACGGAATATCGGGCAATATTCTTACGTTACCATCTGATTTCAGCAAGTGACTTGCTAGTAAGACATCCTCTACATCAGTAGCATTCTTAAGTGTTACTCGGAGAAGCCTTGGGTGATTTAGATGCTTAGAGTCCTTTCCTCTAGAGAGCCGGGTGACCATCAAAGGCTCTATTCTAGGAAGTTCTAGCTTCTTGTTCAATTCACCCCAAAGCATCCTGTTGTTTTTGTCCTGCAGACTGA